CACGTCTTCGCTTCGGGGATAAACTCCATTTATTCCCTTCGTTCATGGGGACATTCCCAAGTCCTAATGCTGTGTAGAGGATGGAAATGAAGTTTCTTCGGTGGTGAGCTGATAGCTGATAGCTGGGAATCCACTAGTGGCGACATCACGTGCCAAACTAGGCTCTCCATGGATTTCGAGCCTTCCAAATCAAATGCTCGCAGAGTAGATAGTAACCAACGTTCAATTCTCCAGATATGAACGTCACAGATGGATAGTAGGTTTGGAAAGGCGCTTCCAGCTGTATGCCTACTAGTACTCAGAAGCCTAGCGGCCAGACGCTCCAGGATTACTGGTATATAAATATCTTATGACACAACGATGGATGATCATGGTTTTATTTTAACTATAAATAGATAGTACAGAAAGTTCAGAATGATTGTTAATGGCAGTGAAATATTTGTTGAGCTTCTTTTTAATGACCTGGAATTATTACCTCTTCCCTTGAATACTGAAAGAAAAGATCATGACTGCGTTCAGAGAAGCTTCGAATCTTCAATCTCAGAGTAAGTACCTAGTTAAGCACATTGCTTCCACAGAAGCTGGTTAATACAGTCATTATTCGAGGCAAATAAAGACCGAGAGATATTGAGTGGATTTTATTTTGCCTATCTATTCAAAAAAGTCACGCCTGGCTATGATCTAGCTGCAGGGAACGCACGAAATGAATACCCGTTCATTCATTCGCTCATTTATTTATCCCCTTCCGCAACCAGCCCGAAAGGGTAAGGAAGGGTACACATCCCCCTTCAAGGAGAGGGAGCAAATATGACAAGAGAGAGAAAAAAGAAAGAATTAAAGAAAGAAACAAAGAAACAGTGTATTTTCAAAGCTGCACATCGTTGTTCAGCAGGCGAACCTCTTCCCCCGGCTTGAAGGCCGGCAAGCCGATATAGGGACACCCATCGCAGCGGAACGCATCGCCCAGCGAGCAATTCCCGCAGCTGCCCACCTTGCCCTGCACGGTGAAATCTACCTCTGCCAGCTCGCTCGAGCCTAGTTTCATGGTCTCCAGCGCTTTGTCGGCAGTGGCGCGTTTGGCCTTGTCTTTTGCCTCAAGCTTCTGAGAGAGGCCGCAGGAGCAGTCCTTGCACGCTCGTCGACGTTTGCCTGGCTTTGGGCGGCATTCGGGTGCTGTGTAATGTGGTTTTAGTTCGGAGTCTAGTTGTTGTAGCAGGGATTGGGGAGGAGGGAGAGGATAAGGGAGAGACGGGGGCTGTGGGTATGGAGTGGATTGCAATGGACTATTCAACTCACGTTGGACAATTTGTCTTCCCATATCATCTTCATCAAGCAGTTCGTCCTCGTCGATAAGCTCCTCGTCGGAATCCTGCGGATCATCTTCCGCCGGCACGCCAAAGTCATCGCTGAAATCTATAAATCCCACTCCAGGGGGAACTGGGTTATTTTCGGTCGTCTTGGCTGCAGGAATAGGCGCGCTTATCCCATTTGAAGATGGTGCGCCCACTGTCCCGTTGGTACTGTAATTGGCAGAGGACGCGAGAGTGTCCGTCTTTTCCTTCTCCTTCCTTCTCCTGCTCAGCTTCAGCGGAATAGCCTGCTGCGCTCCGATATCTGGCTTCAACAGCTCTCCCTTATCATCAAAGACTAGGCCTGCCAAGATCACTTCGTTCCTGAACCGCTGTTCATCATCATTGTAACGCCTGCTGCTGTTCGCATTACTACCATTACCGTCACTTAAACCCCACGGCTTATTTTCCCGATTGCGCAGCTTCCCCGCGGGTCTCAGACTGTGCACGACCCGCTGGATGAGTTCACGGTTGAGGAGGCTATGGGTTTCTGCGAGGGTGTTGTCTGCGCCTGTTAGGAGGAGGACGATGTCGTAGGTTGATTCTGGAAGGGAGACGAGGCCGTGGGCAAGCCGGTCGAGCATCTGCAAATCAGTCTTGTCCCGCGTGTGTGATTTTAAGATCGCGTTTAGCTTTTCGGGATGCGAAGAGAGGGATGGCGGGGAGAGGAGGAGGACTCGTCCAGTGGTCGCCATCGCTTCTGAACGGTGGGGATGCTAGAAAATTGGAATGAATGGAAGAAAAAAAAAGAAGAGGGGAAGATGTTTCTTTACTCTTTTTTACACCTTCTTTGTCCTCGTGGTTTTATTGATGTTGTTGTTGTTGGGTGGTGATTATTTTCTTGGAAATAATAATTTAAAAAAAAACTTGTGGTCACATCATTGGAAAGTTTTTACTGCTTGTGCCCCTCGCCAGGAAGTACAGATTATCTGTACCAGAATTCTGGCGCCATCACATGCGGGGAAAGACTAACTGGCACATCTATTACTAATACTAGTTAAGTCATCTCTCTCCGAAATCGGTCAAAACTTTCCAGGAGCGTTTCAAATTCTTCCACAGTGTTTGATGACCCTTTGTCAGTTACCAGAATTCTCAATGAACAATCAATCGTATTTGAGTCGATCAGGGAAAAGTCCTATTCCGCCACTACGATAGATCCTCTCTACGTGAGGTCCGTGATCGGAAAGCGGCGGCTGTGCTGACCTCTCCGTAAGTGTCATCATTCCGCATACAGTGGAAAGGTGTATCAAGCGTAGAAGGAACCATGTTTCTCAATTGCAGGAAGCAAAGTGATATGTGTGAAATATTAAATTACTATGAGAATATCCGCAGTATTTCCTCGTCTAGGAGCGAGGCAATTTTATTAGCACTTTCAACAACTCACTGCTTTGGCTTGACCAGGGAAAGTTTATTGTATGTGTTGACCGTTTTGACAGAAAGTCAAGGAAGGTCTATAGATTTGAACGTTAGGCTTCTTCTTCCTGCATCCCAAGGTTTATTATATTCTATACACACATACTTTTAATTTCGGAGTGGAAGCTGTGTTGGCATTCATACATAATTCAATGTGGTGATGAACTCCTTGGTATAAAATGTACAGCAATACTGTTTATTGTTGATGCTTGCAGTGAATGGGGTTTCTAATAACGTACATACCTATGGATAGTTTGTTTTTATCATATTACTATTGACGAGTACTGTTTTGACGGCAAATCCTGTTACCTGTTTGATGCGAAACCAAGTTTACCTCTCCTACCCCGGATATTCACCGCCACGCTAGTCCGCATTAGGGCGCGACAACGCTGGCTGGCCCTGGCGCCATGGGAGAATGACGTAGTGTGGGTCTTGGACCCGCTGGTCAGGTGCTCCTCACCCAGGGAAGCAACTGGTCCCGTGCGACGTTTGAGGGTAGGTACCTAGGTATTGACCTACTAGCACATTCTACAGCGTGGCGTCTGCCGTATCCATCTGTTCTATTGACGCGGATGCGCGGATGCATCGCTGCCGAGTGCAGAGTGGAGACAATGCAAAGAGGAAAGCGGGTAGGAAGACGGCGTTGAACAAATTGGCCTGTACCTTTGTGAGATGAGAGCGCGCATGGCTTGTTGTGCTGTGCTCTGCTCTGGGGTCATGTGCCGCGGTGGTGCAAGCCGGTAACTCTCGAAACCATACAGACTAGAGAGAGGAAGGTTGATTCATGTGTAGTGG